CAGTCCCCCCCATCTCTCCTGTCCCCGTGTCGTCAGGTTGATTTCCCTTAACCTCTCCCCATAGACATGCCCCTTAACTCTGGGGGCTAGTCTTGCTGCAAACCTTTGCACTTTCTCTAGTTTATTTACATGCTTGGCTAGGGTGGGTTCCCAAAAATGGGGCGCTACTCTAAAATGGGCCTAACGTACACGGTGTACAGGGTCCCGAAAGATTCCTTTTTAAGAGTCGGAAAGCGTTCGAGGTTTGCCAGGGGCCCATTGCTGCGGCAGTTTTTTGGTTGATGTGCGCTTCAGGGATGTGCCGGTGTTATACTCACCCAAGATTTTTTTCCCTTGGGGATTTTTTGTAGTTCTGGCCCCCTAGACTGACTCCTCTGCGGTTTTTTGCCCCTTTCCCAAACCTCATGACTTTTCACTTGGTGGGGTTGAACTCCAGGGCCATTGCTGGACCCGGTCTGCAGCCCGTCAGTTTTCCCCATGCCTCAGGCAATCCCCCTGTTTCGTGATGTATATTATTGGTTGGGGTACACATAGCCCCTCTGCCCCCTCTTCAGGGCCCCATGGGAGTGTTATCGGGCCCCATTCCCTTTGGGTATCTAGCCCCTCGAAGCCTCTTCACTTTTTCCTGGGTTGTGTGACTGTGCCGAACAGGGTGTGCCCCCACCCTCCGTCTTTTGGAGCCCCTTCTGTTTTCTCTGTGAACACTTCTTTGATCTTTTTTGGGTTTTCCTAAATTTACTTCAGGTCATTTCTTGTTGTCTTTTCCCCTTCCTTCCTTACCCTGATTCCCTGGTCCTTAAACGGTTGTTTTCTTTGATGTGGTTTTAAACGTTCGGGTCAGTTTTGGGTTTGTGCTATGTCTTTTCTATTGCTTGGGCCCCCTTCTTATTGTGCTTTCGTTTGGCTCTACGATGTCTCCTTATTCTCTGGGCCCTTTCCCTTTCTATTTTTCTTCCTTCCCCAGCCATTGGTTTTTGCCCCCCTTGCACTTTGGGAAAACCATGGGCTCTCCGGGCTTTTTCATTTTTCCTGTTCCCTTGGGTAAAAACCTCCCCTACCCTCCTTGAAATTTGTTGCCATTTTCCCCATCATCTTTAATGGCTTCCCTGCCAGTTTCTGTCCACTGAACCCCTTAGGAATTTCCCTCATTCCTGTGTAGTCCCTTTCTGTAGTTTGGTTTCTTTTGTCCTTTGCTTCCTGCTTCCCCCCTACTTGTAGCTCTACTGGTTTTTCGAAGCTAAAAACCCAATGTCCTCCCCCAAGGGGTTTTCATATGTGATGCCCTCATATTGCATACAAGGTTTTTACAAAGTCCAGTTTTGCTGGTTCACCCTCTCCCTTCTCTTTGTTTTCCTTACGTGTTGGAATGAAGTTTTCCAGTACCCCCTCCATCATTTACCCCTCCATGTATCTTGGCCCCCTTGGTCCAATTTTCCCCCAATTCGTCTCTTTTGTGGTTAAAGTCCCCTGTAAAAGAGCTTTCCCCTGCATGCATGAGCTCTTCTCCCCACTAGCGTGTGTAAACCATGCTCTTTTGCTTCGTCTACTCTTGCCTTGGCCCCTGTGTTCGTGGGGGGTTATACCCCTGCTTACCCTTGGGACCCCCAGAGTGAAGGTTCCCTATGTAATCCTTTCTTCCCCGCTGTCCCCTCTCCCCAGTCATCAAAATTCCCTTTTTTTTTGATCGCAAGCCACTCTCCCCCCCCCTGTTCCTTCTGTCTTTTTCAGGTTTTGGTTTCCCTTTTTAAAGATGGCTCTGTTTCATCCTGTAAGCTTGGTTTCTGTGGGGCTTATGATGTCGGTGATGCCCTTTTTACTCTTTCTGCCCCTCCTCCCCCTTTTTGTTATTTTCCCCAGCGTTTGTGTAACATACCTTCAGTTTCCCCTTTCCAAAACTGTGGTTTGGGGGGTGTGGGGGTGGGAGACCCGGGGCTACTGGGATTCTATGGGGGGGGTTTGGGGGGAGCTGGGGTATGGATTGTATTTTGTGTTGGGTGGTGTGATAGGTTGGGGGTTTGGGTAGTTGTGTGTGTGCTTTCCCTTGCTGTCTGTTTTGCTTGATGACTCTGCTGGGTTTCCTTTTTTGTCTCTTTTCTGCTCCTTTCGCTTTTTTTTCCTCTCCCTAGCTGCGCTTTGTTTTGTTTGTTCTGTTTGGAAAACCCTTTGTATCTTCCCAATTTTAACCTGGTTTTTTTTGGAGGTCCCCTTTTGACTGTTTTTTGTCCCGAGAATCAGCTTGATGGTCGGTTTTTTTCCCCCCCCAAATACCCCCATTCCTGAAAATTTAAATCTCTCCTTTCTTTCCCCCCTTTTCCCTGTGATTTTTTCAAACTCCTTTCTTTCTTCCCGGTTCTTTTAGTGTGTGTCCTTTCCTCTCTCCTGAAGCCCTGGGAAAATCATGATTTTTCCCCTTTTTCCTCCTTTCCCCCCTCTGTGACTCTGGTTTTCCCGCTGTATGTGGTCATTTTTCCCCTTGATTTTTCGTGGCTCTTGTAGCTGGGTTTTGCCTCAGATTCGACCTATCCCCCTCTCCCTCTGCACCCCCTGTCTTCCCTTCCCCTCCCTGGCCTTCTTTGCAGACTGATTGACCCTTAGGGATAATTCTTTCCTTCCTTTGTTAGCCTCCCTCTATGTGTGTCTTCTTGGTCCCTCCCCCGGACGCTTCAGCCTTTTACTCAAAAACTGGACCCCTTTCCCCCGGTACTGCAGTTTCGCTTGTGCCCCCCCATTTTTTTGCTCCTTTTCCAACCTCTTTTCCATTTCACAGAGAGCTCTTTCTCCTTTTTTCAGAAAGCTCTCCCAATTTTCCTCCCATCTTGTCCTTTCCCTTTTTCCCCTGCCCCCCACCCTCCTCCCTACCAGACCTTTATTAAACCCTGTTCCTGGAGTCCCAACCATTTTTTTTTTGAAGAGGAGAGAAAGGAAAAAGGGAAAAAAGGGGGAGAGGGGGTAGGGAGAGAGGGAAAGGGGGTGAAGGGGGGGAAAGAAGGGGAAAAGGGGGGAGAAAGGGAGAGGGAAAAAGGTAAAAGAGAGGGGAGAGTGAAAAGGGAAGAGAGAGAGAGAGAAAAGAAGAGGAAGAGGAGAGAGAGAGGAAAAGAGGAAAAGGAAAAGAGGGGGGGGGAAAAGGAGGGAAAAGAGAGGAAAAAAAAGGAAAGGAAGAGAGGGGGGAAAAAGGGGATGAGAGAGAGGAGAGAGGGATGGGGGGGAGAAAAAGGGGGGGTGTGTGTGTGTGTGTGTTGTGTGTACTCACGTTGAGGTTGGGGGGGTCGAGTCCGACCCTGCCCCGCCTCTTCATGATCGCTATAGGTCACTCTCCTGAGCCGGGGCTTTATCATCCCTTTTTAAAGCTAGTAGGATCCTCCTCCACTACATCGCTTCCAAACTTTTCCATTACTGCTACTCGGGGCTGAAGAAAATTTCCTAACTCCTTGATTCATCTGTGCTTCAGCTTCCAATGTGCCCTTGTTCTGTGTCCAATTTTGGAAAACACCCTGTCTTTGTCCCCTTGTCAATTCCTTCAGTATTTTGTTGTCGTTTCATGTCCCCCCATCTCTCCTGTCCCCCATGTCGTGGGTTGTTTCCTTAACCTTCCCGTAGGACTTCCCTCTTAGTTTGGGGACGTTTTGTTGAAAAACCTTTGCACTTTCTTATTTTCTTCACGTGTTTGGGCTGGGTGGGGCCCAAACGGGCCGATACTCCTTAGGGGCCTAACGTAACGGTGTACAGGGTCCTGAATGTTTCCCTTTTTAAGTTTCGAAATGCTGTTTGGGGTTTTAGGCCCCCCATTGTGCAGCCAGTTATTTGGTTGATGTCGCTTCGGAGATGTGCCGGTGTTTACTCCCCCCAAAGACTTTTTCTTGGGTGGGTTTTTTTGTTCCTACCCCCTCTGTACCCCCGTTGCGGCCTTCTTTCCCCTTTCCCCCAATCTTCATGACTTTGCACGGGGTGGGATAAACTCAGGACCCAATTGCGGGGGGACGGGGTCTCAGCCGCCCCGACCCCTTGTATTTTTCCCCGGTCTTCGATCGGGGAAATTCTTCTCATCAACTTCACCCTGCAAAGGGGGACCCCCGTTTTTTTTTCCCTTCCGTCAGTCTTTTCACAAATACCGTGTTCATATAGTGGTGGTGTGTGTGTGTATGTGTGTGTGTGTGTTTTATGGTGTGTGTGTGTGTGTGTGTAGGGTTGTTGTTGTTTATGTGTGTGTGTGTGTGGTGTTGTGTGTGTGGTGTTGGGTGTGTGTGGGGTTTGTGTGTTGTGTGGGGGTTTTGGGTGGTTGTGTTGTGTTGTGTTGTGTGTGTGGGTGGTGTGGTGTGTGTGTGGTGTGGTGTTGGTGTGTGTATGGCTGGTGTCTCACCTATTGAAGTTGGGGGTTTCGAATCCAAGCCCCGGGCCCCCCGCCTTTTCCCGGGGTCACTACTAGGTCATCTCCCTGCCGTGGCTTTTCATACCTCTGCTTAAACTTGTGTGGATCCTGCCCCCATACATCGTTTCCCCAAATTATTCCCATTCCCTGACTACTTGTGGCAGAAGAAAACTTCCTAACTCCTGGTTCATCTGTTCAACTTCCAACTGTGTCCCCTTGTTGCTGTGTCCCATCTCTGGAACATCCTGTCTTTGTCCACCTTGTGTGTACTCACCTAATTCACCTAATTGTGGTTGCAAGGGTCGAGACTCAGCTCCTGGCCCCGACTCTTCACCGACCGCTACTAGGTCCTCTCTCCCCCTGCTCCATGAGCTTTATCATACCTCTGCTTAAAACTATGTATAGTTCCTGCCTCCACTACATCGCTTGCCAGACTATTCCACTTCCTAACTACTCTATGACTGAAGAAATACTTCCTAACATCCCTTTGACTCATCTGAGTCTTCAGCTTCCAATTGTGTGTGTGTGTGTGTGTGTGTGTGTGTGTGTGTGTGTGTGTGTGTGTGTGTGTGTGTGTGTGTGTGTGTTGTGTGTGTGTGTGTGTGTGTGTGTGTGTGTGTGTGTGTGTGTGTGTTTGTGTGTGTGTGTTTGTGTGTGTGTATGTGTCTAATTGCCAGACATAATGAGGGCAAATTCCTTGGCCTATACCTCGACAACAACCTAAATTTCAGCACCTATATCCAACACATAACAAAAAAAGTATCCAAAACGGTGGGGATCCTCTCCAAGATGCGATACTATGTGCTGCAAATTGCCCTTCTCACACTATACCATTCGCATATATATCCATACCTCACCTATGCTATCTGTGCTTTGGGTTGAACTGCAGCAACACACCTAAAGCCAATAATAACCCAACAAAAAGCCGCAGTAAGAATAATCACTGAATCCCATCCCTGGCAACACCCCCCCCCCACTCTTCATAGATCTAAACTTACTCCCTGTTCAGAACATCCACACTTACTACTGTGCAGTCTATATCTACAGGACCTTAAATTCCAATATTAACCTTGACCTAAAACGCTTTCTTGATAGTTGTGACAGGATCCACAGGCATAACACCAGACACAAACATCTCCATGACATTCCCCGTGTTCGACTAGACCTTTACAAAAATTCAATGTTTTTCAAAGGACCTAAAATCTGGAACACCCTACCTGAAAACTCTAGAACTGCAGACACATTCATCACTTTCAAAACTACAGTTAGAAAACATCTTATCTCCCTGATCCACCACGACAACTAACTACATGATAACCACCTGGTGGTTCAAAATTACTCACTCACCCACCTTAAAATAATAAATCCTAACTAGTCATAAGTTTGCCTATGATACTCAAATATAGACACCTTGTATTGTGCCAAAACAAAAGCATTCACATTGGTAAACTCACAAATTATGATGTAGTCACTTAGCCTTAATACCATAATCTGTAAGGATTTAATGTTAAGAATTAATCTAAGTCTGCTCGAAATACCTAGCCATGCTAGGTGTCCTAGTGGCCCCCTCTGTAATTAGTATTTTATAACATGTAAACCACAAAATACCCAAAACCTGTAAACCCCACATTGTAACCATTATAGAGAATAAACTTGAATTGAATTGAATTGAGAGGGAGAGGGACAGAGAAGTGAGGGAGACAGTGCAGAGGGGGAGAGAAATTGGGGAAAGAGAAGAAGAGTAAGGGGAGTGAGAGAGAAAGGCAAAGGGAGGGAGAGAGAGGAGAGGGAGTGTGTTTGTATGTGTGTAATCAGAATATAAGCAGTCATTGCTCCACAGCCTCATAAATACCGCTGACTGCGAGTCCTCGCAGAGACTCATTTATCCGCACTCCTGCGTAGTAATATACCATATACACAACTATTCAAAGATCACTTCATGTGCGTGCACATAACACATACACAGAACCACGCCCACACACATGAACGCACACAAACCAGCAACCTCTCTGCTGAACCTCCTCTACCTCAGAGGTTAGTGTTGTGTAGAGCATAGTATCGTCCTCTGTTCTTCACCAGCTGGTTGTGCGTGCCAGTTTCCACCACTCTGCCATCCTCGACCACAGCGATGGTGTCCGCATCTCTGACAGCGGTGAGGCGGTGAGCTATCACGATACTGGTGCGTCCTTTCTGCGCCCTCACCAGTGCCTCTTGCACCACCTGCCAACACAATATGTTGAAGAAAATTATATAAGTTCAAAGACTGTTGAATGCACGTAGGTCAACAAGGCTGCGTATCACCTATTCACTAACATTCAAGATACAAAGCTCTCGGTGCATATACCCAGAGAATGTATGAAAGTTTTATTTAATTTCGCTCTACTGAGAAACTAAAGGAGAAGATAAAGTATTGATTTATTTTATCATAACACAAAGCTGTTGGAGCGAAGATAAAATGATTCAATGATAAAAGTGGAAATGGTTATAAATGACCATAATTTTTAAAGGGGTGGACCGGTAAGCCAGCAGAAGGCCTCGGTCAGATGACCAAAAGCTCCAAAGGCGGGTCATCATCTGACTAAGATCCGCGTCAGGAAACATTTGTCCTGTTTCCTGACGAACCTTACCTATCCTAACCTAATGATAAAAGTAAAAGAAACACCCGCATTTTCTTCACGGGAAAATGTGTGAGGCAGACGGACGCGAAGATAGTTAATTAATGGGCATATAAAAATATATTTATATATATATATATATATATATATATATATATATATATATATATCAAACATTGTCTCTACGTCCACAGCAGGACTCGAACCTGCTAGCTCTGTATCAGAGTCCACAGTACTTTACCACGGAGCTAGATCCGCGATAAGTATGGGCACTTAGCCGAAGCTAAGCGATGTTTCCCCATACCCCTGGGCACCAAGCTCGTTTTGAAAGTGATTTCATCGAATCCTGCCACATGCAGTGGACAACGAAAGAGATTTGAAATGCTTAACAATTCGCAAACAGGCGAAATTATTTACGAACATTGTCTCTACGTCCACAGCAGGACTCGAACCTTTTTGCGAAGCAAATATATATATATATATATATATATATATATATATATATATATATATATATATATATATATATATATATATATATATATATATATATATATATTTTATATATAATATATATATATATATATATATATATATATATATATATATATATATATATATATATATATATATATACAAAACATTGTCTCTTTATCCACAGCAGGACTCGAACCTATTATAATAATATATATTTATATATATATATATTATATATATATATATATATATATATATATATATACAGGGCTGTGAATCAGCTGCCCACGCAACACGAGTATATATTAAAAACATGTCCGATGAAAAAGCCTTGGTCAAATTGGACTTTGCCAACCCTTTCAACTCAGTCAGAAGGGATGCTGCTCTCCAAGCAGTTTATAGAAACTTCCCTTCCCTTTATCCCTTCATAGAATCGTGTTATAGTGTGACTTCCAAACTATTGTTTGGGGACCATGAAACTGGTTCATGTGAGGAAGTGCAACAGGGGGATCCTCTCGCCCCCTTTCTATTTTGTTTGGTCATCTAGGAAATCACAGAAGCACTCTTGAGCGAGCTCAATATCTGGTTCCTGGACGATGGTACCCTAGCTGGCACAACAGAATCCCTCCTAGAGGACATCAGTAAAAATAAAGACATGGGAGAAAGCCTGGGTCTTTCTTTAAACCCCACCAAATGTGAAATAGTTTCTACCAATCAACAGATGATCCATAATATTAGCGCCGTTTTACCAGGAGCACGAGCCATTGATCCAGCCAATAGCACTCTCCTTGGTGCTCCTCTTGGGTCCAGTGCCATCGATCTGATCCTAGAAAAAAAAGTCTCAGACCTCTGGATGATGGAAAGCAGGATGAAAGACATTGACACACACGATGCCTTCTACCTACTCACCAGGCGCCTGTCAATCCCAAAACTTACCTACTTTCTGAGATGCTCCCTAGCCTTCAGCAGTCCAAAACTCAAGGAATATGACTCTCTCCTTAAGACCATGCTAGAGAGTGTATTGAATCTTTCCCTTGAAGATGGACAGTGGTTGCAAACCTCACTTCCGGTCAGGCTTGGAGGGCTAGGAGTATGCAGATCCTCCCAGATTGCTCTACCAGCTTTCCTATCCTCTTCCATAGCATCAAACGAGTTGATAAGACAAATTCTTCCTGATACCCTCAGTGACTCAGCAGGAATAGAAGACCCTGGCTATGCCAGCGCCGTCACTGAATGGAAGACTCTTCCTGCTCCAGCACCAAACCCTATTGCAGCACTGGCTCACAAACAGTCAAGCTGGGATGGCCCGATCGCTGAAAAGGTGCTTGCCAACATGCTCAGGGATGCAACATCAGATAGGGAGATTGCCCATCTCTAGGTTGTGAGCGCACATCACTCTGGGAACTTTCTCCAAACAGTTCCCATATCGGCAATGGGAACGCGACTCGACCCCAAGACCCTCCGTATTGCAGTGGCTCTGCGCCTTGCTGCCCCAATTCACACAGAATATACGTGTATTTGCGGCGAAGCGCAAGCAGACCAATGCGGTCTACATGGTCTTAACTGTTCCAAAACCAAGGGCTGGCATGCAAGACACAATGAGGTCAACGACATTATTAAGAGAACCCTTGCTACAGCTGGATGCCCAGCCGAGAGGGAGCCCCAATCACTAGCAGCTAACAATACCCATAACCCAGCAAACTGCCCCGACGGGATCACCATCTATCCTTGGAAGAATGGCAAGCTCTTAGCACGGGACTATACCTGTGTGTCCACACTGGCTGACACCTATATCCATCACAGTGTGGGGCGACAGGGAGGAGCTGCTGACCACAGGGAGGAGTACAAGATCAGCAAGTACAGGGACATAAGCCATCAGTATCAATTTGTCCCAGTGGGATCAGAGACCTTGGGATCATGGGGAAAAAATGCCACACGTTTCCTTAAAGAATTTTGTTCCAGACTCATCGATACCACCAGGGACCCAAGGGCAGCCACTTTCATGTTCCAGCACCTCAGCATAGCCATCCAGAGGGGAAATGTTTGCTGCATACTTGGCTCGCGTCCAGCCTCGGAGGAGCTGGAGGAAATTCATGATCTTTGATACATTGTGCCATTGTATTCATGTTTATGTGTTTCTGTAAATGTATTCTGTTTATTAATAAATGTTCATATAGAATATCAAATGTAGGGGGTGGTAGGAGAAGAAAATATTCAAACAGCTCCGGGGAGAACCTTGAGTTTTCCCAGGGGACGTGTCAGCGGATGGGTCTATGAAAGATGAAGTGAATCATAGAATTGATGAGGGAAAAAGAGTGAGTGGTGCACTTAGGAGTCTGTGGAGACAAAGAACTTTGTCCTTGGAGGCAAAGAGGGGAATGTATGAGAGTATAGTTTTACCAACGCTCTTATATGGGTGTGAAGCGTGGGTGATGAATGTTGCAGCGAGGAGAAGGCTGGAGGCAGTGGAGATGTCATGTCTGAGGGCAATGTGTGGTGTGAATATAATGCAGAGAATTCGTAGTTTGGAAGTTAGGAGGAGGTGCGGGATTACCAAAACTGTTGTCCAGAGGGCTGAGGAAGGGTTGTTGAGGTGGTTCGGACATGTAGAGAGAATGGAGCGAAACAGAATGACTTCAAGAGTGTATCAGTCTGTAGTGGAAGGAAGGCGGGGTAGGGGTCGGCCTAGGAAAGGTTGGAGGGAGGGGTAAAGGAGGTTTTGTGTGCGAGGGGCTTCGACTTCCAGCAGGCATGCGTGAGCGTGTTTGATAGGAGTGAATGGAGACAAATGGTTTTTAATACTTGACGTGCTGTTGGAGTGTGAGCAAAGTAACATTTATGAAGGGGTTCAGGGAAACCGGCGGCCGGACTTGAGTCCTGGAGATGGGAAGTACAGTGCCTGCACTCTGAAGGAGGGGTGTTAATGTTGCAGTTTAAAAACTGTAGTGTAAAGCACCCTTCTGGGAAGACAGTGATGGAGTGAATGATGGTGAAAGTTTTTCTTTTTCGGGCCACCCTGCCTTGGTGGGAATCGGCCGGTGTGATAATAAATAAAAATAAATATATATATATATATATATATATATATATATATATATATATATATATATAATATATATATAAAACACTGATCTCTGGCTGAAGGAGACTCGAACCTACGAACCTTAGGACAAGGTACGCAGTGCTTTACCAATCTACCCACACTGGACCGATCCAAGGCAGCCAGCTTTCGGTCCAGTGTGGGTAGATTGGTAAAGCACTGCATACCTTGTCCTAAGGTTCGTAGGTTCGAGTCTCCTTCAGCCAGAGATCAGTGTTTGTGTATATTTCGCATGCTCTCGCGAATTCCTTGCATATATATATTATATATATATATATATATATATATATATATATATATATATATATATATATATTATATATATATATATATATAATAAATTATTGTATATATATATATACTATATGCAGGACAAGCCATGGGAGGTGGAAATCTTTAGCTCAAGTACTTTCACACTTCTCAGTGCATCATCAGGAGCTGTGCAATGTTGCAAGGGAGCAGCCTAAGCACAGAGAGAGGTCTCAGAGTAGCGTAAGTGTCACCGTCCACGGTTACCCTTAGACTGGGTTAGTGGTCGGTGTTATCCCCACCCTACCATCATGCCCCTACCCCTCATATGGGGTAGGAGGGTTTCTGAGATGTCAAGTATGAAATTATAAGATATAAAAAGCCAGCCCTAAGCTTTTCCTAATCGTTTATAACAGGCCACATGGTTTGAGAAAATAAATTAGATTCTGTAGACATGGATTGCTATTATTCTGTGTGACCTTTTTAAATAGTGAAAGAAAGGGATACAATGTGCTCTTTTCGTTTAAATGTCCTGCTCTGAGGTACTCGAATGTTCTACCGATGTACTCAGAAGTATCTCTTCCTAAATGTTGTCTACTATTTTTCTCAGTGTCGGTTAATATGCCATACATGGAGATCTTCTATGCCTATCCAATATTTCTATGATCTAAATTCCACTAATACCCTTTAACCTCTCCTACATTATCTCGTTATCTTGTATGCTTGTCACTATATACCTGGAGTCTACCTGGAGGTTATTCCAGGGATCAAAGCCCCCG